AAGTGAAGTCTTCCAGAGATGTATGGAACAGCTCTTCTCTGGGCAGCCTTGTGAAATAATTGTGGATGACATCTTGATCTGGGGCTCTTCTGTTGAGGAACACGACAAACGCCTTAAATGTGTGCTAGACCGTGTCAGAGCCATAAATATGCAGCTGAATCCAACAAAATGTCGTTTCAGGGTCTCAGAGGTGCCATATGTAGGCCATCTTCTCACAGACAAAGGTGTCAAGCCTGACCCAGAAAAAACCAAAGCCATCCACCAGATGCTTACCCCAGAAGACAAACATGGTTTGCAGAGGTTTCTTGGCATGACCAATTATCTTTCTAAATTCATACACTGTTACAGTGAGATAACAGCTCCCCTCCGTCAGCTCCTTCGTCAAGATGCAGAATGGTATTGGACTGAACAACATACTGCTGCTGTGGACACACTCAAGGGACATCTGACAAGTCCACCCGTCTTACAGTATTTTGATGTGCACAAGCCAGTGACATTGTCTGCTGATGCTTCCCAGCATGGTCTCGGTGCGGTCTGTCTTCAGGATGGCAGGCCTGTTGCATTCGCATCAAGATCTCTCACTGACACTGAAGCGCGCTATGCGCAAATTGAGAAAGAACTCTTGGGGCTAGTCTTTGCCTGTGTAAAGTTCCATGGTTATATCTATGGTCACCCAGTGACTGTGGAGACAGATCATCAGCCTCTTATAACCATCCTTAAAAAGCCTCTGCACACAGCATCGGCGCTCATCCAGCGGATGATGCTCAAACTTCAGCGCTATCATCTAAATGTGATCTATAAACGAGGCCGTGAACTGTATGTTGCGGATGCACTTTCACGTGCACACCTCCCTACCACAGACACTCCTGAATCCATTGAGGACTATGACGTGTTAGCACTGGAAGGGGTGTTGTCATCCAGAAGGATTGAGGAACTTAAGCAAACCACACAGGCAGATGCTCTCTGCTAACGCCTCATGGACACCATTCTCACTGGCTGGCCTGACTCATATAAGGATGTTCCACATGACATCCGTCCGTTTTACGCAATGAGGGATGAATTGACAGTGGATGATGGTTTGATTCTGCGTGGTCAGCGGTATGTAATCCCTCACTCTCTTCAGAAACACTACTTAACACAGCTTCATCAAGGTCATCCTGGCCTTCAGTCCACTAAGCGAAGGGCACGTGAAACCATGTTCTGGCCTGCAATGTACAGTGACATTGAAAGAGAAGTTTCCAGATGTGCCCCCTGCAATGCTTTAAAGCAACACCAGATGAGAGAACCCTTGCAACTTCACCAGATACCAGACAGCCCATGGTCCATCACAGCAGCTGACACATTTGAGTGGTCAGGCAAACATTACCTCGTCTTGGTGGACTCATACTCTGGATGGTGGGAGTTTGATGCCCTTCCAAATCTTTCCAGTAACACTGTGATCAGGCAATTGAAACGACACTTTGCTGTTCATGGGATTCCCCAACAGTTAATGACCGACAATGCAACATCATTTTCAAGCAGGGAATTCAAGAACTTTGCTCACCTGTGGGATTTTCAGCATGTCGCGAGCAGTCCCAATTATCCGAGATCCAATGGCTTGGCAGAGCGTGGTGTCTGGTCTGCAAAGCATCTCCTTGAGAAGTGTGCACGTGATGGCTCTGATGTCTATGCAGCCTTACTTAACCTGTGCAACACCCCTAGGGATGGCTTGCCCTCTCCAGCGCAACGTCTACTGTCCCGACGCACCAGGTCTCTGATCCCCCTGGTACCATCTCAGCTCACACCGAGAGTTGAGTCTAATGTTCAGGCGGCTTTGTTTGCACTCAGACAAAAAGGGAAGAGAAGCCATGACAAATCTGCCAGATGTCTTTCGCCTCTGGAGCCTGGGCAGACAGTAAGGATGGAAACGACCTGTGGGTTTGACAAACTGGCCACGGTTTCTGGAAAGGCTCTTCAACCCAACAGTTATGTCGTCCAGTCTAATGGCAAGGCCTATGTGAGGAACCGTCGCCACCTTCTACAAGTACCTGAATCGTACTGTCCTACCATTACCATGTCTGTACCTATGATCTTTCCTGAACCACAAGCAAATCCAAGTGCCGTAGTGCCACATGCCACTTCAAAAAATGGATGTGATGTGCCGTCACCACAACACACTGACAGTTCCAAGCAAGAGGATCCAAACTCACAAGCTTCTCTGTTTGTCACTCGATCAGGAAGAGTCTCCAAGCCTAATTTAAGGTTCAAAGACTTTGTCACACACTGAGTGTTCACACAGCATGCCATGCTTATGATACATGGAGAATAAGTTATACGTTATTAGTGTTTATTTACATGCTGAACTATTTTACTTCTTTTCTTTGGTTTATGTTAGGTTATATAAAAAAAAGAATAATAAAAAAAAGAAAGATGTAGAACATGTGTGTGTGTCCCACATACATGTGTTTATGGGAGCTGCATGTTTAGAGATGGACATGTGGGGGCAGAGATGAGTAGAGGGAGAGGTTGGTTCTTATTCAGTGGTGGTTACACATTAAAAGGAGTTAATACAAAGTTATCACACGACTCCTCTATTTAGTGCACATTTACAAAATGGAAACACAAACATGAAATCTACATCCTGATTGGCTTTTCCCTCGGCCCAGTCCAGAATGAACTTCTGCACAGAGACAGTTTTTCCAATTCCAGCGATGCCTTTAGTAAGACCAGTCTTTATTTGGTCTTTCTCCTCTCTTCAGTTCTCCTCATATCCTGGTTCAGGTAAAGGATTAAAGATGTCATTGCAGTTGATTGGAGTGTCCTGTCCTGTAACTTTTCTCCATCTGCAGCACCTCATGTTCTTCATTCACTCCTTCACTCTCTCCCTCTATGATGTACAGCTGTGTGTAAATCCTGTTCAGGAGAGTTTGATTCTGTTGTAGTTTGATTCCCTCAAATAAGCTCTCATACTTGTTCTTCATGCTGGTCTTGTGCTGGTCTTTGACTCTCTGCAGATCATCATGCACTGGTTGATGAGAATCATGCTGCTGAGCTGCTTCTGTGTCATGATGACTGATTTGGTTCTGACTGTAGGAGGATGTGAAGGTCGGACAGGACACATATCTGATCTGGTCAGGTCTCCCACCATTGAAAAGACATTAAGCAGATCAGACAAAAACAAATATAAAAGACCTTTTTCAAAATAGAGAAAATATTTATATGTCTCTAATATTAAATTATCTTATTTGAAATCATACCACAACCACATTTAGAAAGTTTGATTGATAAGCTCATTTTAATCATAATAAATATGTTGTGGCCAACAGCTACTTCTTATTACTGCCAATATTACACTGATGCAGAAATCCCACTGTGTCCCTTAACTTTTGTGTAATTAGACACAAAGGGAATAGACATAGAGAAGCACACAAGAGCACTATTTAACAAAGCAGCTTCATTTAACAAACAACCTATTGAATTTTTCCTTTTCAGTTTTGTTTCTTAATATCATGATTTTCATTTTAGTGTTATATTGCTGATAAAAAAAAAGAGAACACAATTTCCATTTATTTTTCTGTCTAAAGAACTTTATTGCAGAAATAAACTAAAAAAGTATATTTCTCTCTTGTTATTTCTGTGTATACTCTTTGTTTTTGTGTTGATTGTCTCTTTCTACATGAATATACTCACACAGGATCAAAGGGCACCGCTTCATCACTGAGATCAGGGGGCTGCAGTGGAGAAGCTGCTCTCTTTCTCTTCCTGCTGATGGTACTGAGATATAGAAAGAGACAAAAAAAGAGAGAAATATTGTTTTTCTGCACATTATCAGTCTTAAAGGGGACCTTTAAGAGGGGGCCACTGCTATTGCTGGAGCATGAGCTCTTGAAGCTCTGCCCTCTTCTGAACAGAGGGCCGGTGCACCAGCTCATTTGCACTGAAAGAGACAAATGGATGCTCTGTGAGGCTGTTACTAGCCGAGTTCACGAATCATTGTCTAGGACAGGCACATGTGAAACTCTCAAAATGAAAACAGGGTGGAACAACACAATCTCCCGGTCTTCCACTGAAGATGCAAATTAAGCTATTTTGGAGCATTTTGGCTATATAAAAATGGTCAATAAGGGGTTGAAGACGGGCATCCAATATGCAAAACATGCAGATGAAAAGTGACGATTAAAACAGCGAACACATCTAAAATGTTACAGCACCTGAGGGATCAGAATCCAAAGATTCAGGCTCAGATAAAGGCAACAGTTTTGCAAACGCATTAAATATTACTTAACATCACTAAACATTACTTATAGCACGTTTCCCCATCCAATAATCACAATAAGCTTTGTGCTTTGTTAATTTTGTTATAATCAAGGTCTCAGCTTTAAAATTCTGTCAATTTTGTTAAACAATAATTTAAATTGATATAATCAATTGGCTCAGTACTAGGACCGTTACTTTTCACGATTTACATCTTACCCTTGGGAGATATCATCAGGAAACATGGTGTTAGCTTTCACTGTTATGCTGATGATACTCAGCTCTATATTTCTTAGTTACTTGACGAAACATACCAATTTGCAAATCTAAAGGAATGCATAGTTGATATAAAAAACTAGTAATTACTTACTGCTTATCTAAAAAATAGACGTGTTAATTATCGAACCAAAAACTTCTGCATGTAATGACCTAGAACACTGTCTAACACTTGATGGCTGCTCTGTCAATTTTTGTCATCAGTTAGGAACCTAGGCGTGCTATCTGATAGCAATCTTTCCTTTGAAAAACATGTTTCTAGCATTTGTACAACCAGATTTTTCCATCTTAAAAATATATCTAAATTATGACCTATGCTCTCAATGTCGAACGCAGAAACGTTAACTCATGCTTTCATGACCTCAAGGTTAGACTATTGTAACGCTTTATTGGGTGGTTGCTCTGCGCCATTAATAAACAAACTCCAGCTGGTTCAAAATGTAGCAGCTAGAGTTCTTACTAGAACCAGGAAGTATCACCATATTAGCCCGGTTCTGTCAACACTGCACTGGCTCCCCATTAAACATCATATACATTTTAAAATCTTGCTAATTACCTATAAAGCCCTGAATGGTTTAGCACCTCAGTATTTAAGTGAGCTCTTATTGCATTATAGTCCTTCACGTCCACTACGATCTCAAAACTCTGGCCATTTGATAAAACCTAGAATATCAAAATCAACTGCGGGCGGCAGATCCTTTTCCTATTTAGCGCACAAACTCTGGAACAATCTACCTAACACTGTTCGGGAGGCAGACACACTCTGTCAGTTTAAATCTAGATTAAAGGACCATCTCTTTAACCTGGCTTACGTTTTTCCAATTCCAGCGATGCCTTTAGTAAGACCAGTCTTTATTTGGTCTTTCTCCTCTCTTCAGTTCTCCTCATATCCTGGTTCAGGTAAAGGATTAAAGATGTCATTGCAGTTGATTGGAGTGTCCTGTCCTGTAACTTTTCTCCATCTGCAGCACCTCATGTTCTTCATTCACTCCTTCACTCTCTCCCTCTATGATGTACAGCTGTGTGTAAATCCTGTTCAGGAGAGTTTGATTCTGTTGTAGTTTGATTCCCTCAAATAATCTCTCATGCTTGTTCTTCATGCTGGTCTTGTGCTGGTCTTTGACTCTCTGCAGATCATCATGCACTGGTTGATGAGAATCATGCTGCTGAGCTGCTTCTGTGTCATGATGACTGATTTGGTTCTGACTGTAGGAGGATGTGAAGGTCGGACAGGACACATATCTGATCTGGTCAGGTCTCCCACCATTGAAAAGACATTAAGCAGATCAGACAAAAACAAATATAAAAGACCTTTTTCAAAATAGAGAAAATATTTATATGTCTCTAATATTAAATTATCTTATTTGAAATCATACCACAACCACATTTAGAAAGTTTGATTGATAAGCTCATTTTAATCATAATAAATATGTTGTGGCCAACAGCTACTTCTTATTACTGCCAATATTACACTGATGCAGAAATCCCACTGTGTCCCTTAACTTTTGTGTAATTAGACACAAAGGGAATAGACATAGAGAAGCACACAAGAGCACTATTTAACAAAGCAGCTTCATTTAACAAACAACCTATTGAATTTTTCCTTTTCAGTTTTGTTTCTTAATATCATGATTTTCATTTTAGTGTTATATTGCTGATAAAAAAAAAGAGAACACAATTTCCATTTATTTTTCTGTCTAAAGAACTTTATTGCAGAAATAAACTAAAAAAGTATATTTCTCTCTTGTTATTTCTGTGTATACTCTTTGTTTTTGTGTTGATTGTCTCTTTCTACATGAATATACTCACACAGGATCAAAGGGCACCGCTTCATCACTGAGATCAGGGGGCTGCAGTGGAGAAGCTGCTCTCTTTCTCTTCCTGCTGATGGTACTGAGATATAGAAAGAGACAAAAAAAGAGAGAAATATTGTTTTTCTGCACATTATCAGTCTTAAAGGGGACCTTTAAGAGGGGGCCACTGCTATTGCTGGAGCATGAGCTCTTGAAGCTCTGCCCTCTTCTGAACAGAGGGCCGGTGCACCAGCTCATTTGCACTGAAAGAGACAAATGGATGCTCTGTGAGGCTGTTACTAGCCGAGTTCACGAATCATTGTCTAGGACAGGCACATGTGAAACTCTCAAAATGAAAACAGGGTGGAACAACACAATCTCCCGGTCTTCCACTGAAGATGCAAATTAAGCTATTTTGGAGCATTTTGGCTATATAAAAATGGTCAATAAGGGGTTGAAGACGGGCATCCAATATGCAAAACATGCAGATGAAAAGTGACGATTAAAACAGCGAACACATCTAAAATGTTACAGCACCTGAGGGATCAGAATCCAAAGATTCAGGCTCAGATAAAGGCAACAGTTTTGCAAACGCATTAAATATTACTTAACATCACTAAACATTACTTATAGCACGTTTCCCCATCCAATAATCACAATAAGCTTTGTGCTTTGTTAATTTTGTTATAATCAAGGTCTCAGCTTTAAAATTCTGTCAATTTTGTTAAACAATAATTTAAATTGATATAATCAATTGGCTCAGTACTAGGACCGTTACTTTTCACGATTTACATCTTACCCTTGGGAGATATCATCAGGAAACATGGTGTTAGCTTTCACTGTTATGCTGATGATACTCAGCTCTATATTTCTTAGTTACTTGACGAAACATACCAATTTGCAAATCTAAAGGAATGCATAGTTGATATAAAAAACTAGTAATTACTTACTGCTTATCTAAAAAATAGACGTGTTAATTATCGAACCAAAAACTTCTGCATGTAATGACCTAGAACACTGTCTAACACTTGATGGCTGCTCTGTCAATTTTTGTCATCAGTTAGGAACCTAGGCGTGCTATCTGATAGCAATCTTTCCTTTGAAAAACATGTTTCTAGCATTTGTACAACCAGATTTTTCCATCTTAAAAATATATCTAAATTATGACCTATGCTCTCAATGTCGAACGCAGAAACGTTAACTCATGCTTTCATGACCTCAAGGTTAGACTATTGTAACGCTTTATTGGGTGGTTGCTCTGCGCCATTAATAAACAAACTCCAGCTGGTTCAAAATGTAGCAGCTAGAGTTCTTACTAGAACCAGGAAGTATCACCATATTAGCCCGGTTCTGTCAACACTGCACTGGCTCCCCATTAAACATCATATACATTTTAAAATCTTGCTAATTACCTATAAAGCCCTGAATGGTTTAGCACCTCAGTATTTAAGTGAGCTCTTATTGCATTATAGTCCTTCACGTCCACTACGATCTCAAAACTCTGGCCATTTGATAAAACCTAGAATATCAAAATCAACTGCGGGCGGCAGATCCTTTTCCTATTTAGCGCACAAACTCTGGAACAATCTACCTAACACTGTTCGGGAGGCAGACACACTCTGTCAGTTTAAATCTAGATTAAAGGACCATCTCTTTAACCTGGCTTACACATAATACACTATCGCATTTCTATAATTAAAATCTGTTAAAGCATTTTTAGGCTGCATTAATTAGGTCAGCCTGAACCAGGAACATTTCCCATACCACGCGATGTACTTGTTACATCATTAGAAGAATGGCATCTACGCTAATATTAGTCTGTTTCATTCTTATTCCGAGGTCACCGTAGCCACCCAAATCCAGACAGTAACCGGATCATATGGTCACTGTAGCCACCAGGATCCAGTACATATCCAGATCAGATGGTGGATCAGCACCTAGAGACGAGCTTGACAGCCTTGAATGTCCCCTGAAACAGATCCCCAGCGAAGACCTCGTCACCTAGACGGCCATTGGTTCAAGACCACGGGAACCAGATGAGTCCTCTGCACAATCTGACTTTGTTGCAGCCTAGAATTAAACTGCTGGTTTCGTCTGGCCAGAGGAGAACGACACTATTTTGACACTATTTCCCCATTTAATACTGTAAAGCTGCTTTGACACAATTTGCATTGTAAAAAGCGCTATATAAATAATAGTGACTTGACTTATTTTTCCATCTCGTCTTTTCATAATGAATATTAAAGTAGTGTTCAAGCACAGTGCTTTGTTTTTTTTTACAGTGGTAAGCTAGGAAACGCTATATCGATGCTGTTCCATAAGCTCTACCTTCTGTCTGAGAATGAATTTGCGTTCTCATTCAGATGGTCTGCTGTTTTTGTTTTGTTCAGGCATGTTTTATGTGGGATCATTTCACAAAGCTAGTCAGAATATATATATATATATATACTGTATGAAGAGTTTATTTGCAAAACAGATAACTCCATTTTTTAAAATTTTCAAAAATCATGTTTTTTCATTGTGCATTCCAATGAATCTCAATCAAACTGCAGTTAGGTTATTTTGATTAGGTTAAAAAATAACTTAAAAATACAGCTAACTAATACAATAAAAACGTATATGGGTAGTTGAAAAATAGGCAGTAAAAATGCTTTTTTTTGTAAAAGACCATTTTTGAAGAAGAAATGCACGTATATGTAGTGTGAAGACTGATCTTTGAGAAAATATAAAGGGTCACTTTTTCAATTCTTTCACTGTGTTTTTTCACATTTTTACTGAACTGTAACATAAATTTGTCCTGTGGTGTGACATAGCAAACATTAAGAAAAAATGTAATATACAAATAAAAAATTAATATACAAATAGCATGAGAGAGATTTCTCTTCTTTGTTAGACACTTATTTTCATATCGTGTTATGTATTTAATATAAAATTATATTATATTATATTACAAACAGAAATGTTATAATTTAAAAGGTTATTTAAAAACGGCAAAACTTTGCATTGTTGAGTGTTGATCATTATTATATTTAACAATAAATAGTAATTACATTTAAGTTTGGGCACTGTTTTTAATTGTAACCTAGTAATGTAAAAGGGCTCCCTGTAGTTTAAAGCATAAGCTGAGGTAGATTTTTATCACTAAGAAAATGTTAATTATAACTGAATTTATTTATAAAAGAGCAACTTGTTCAGTGAACCACTGTTTCATTTTTTTTTTAAAAGAAAAAATTATGTTTCGTTTTTCCCCTGCTGTATCGAAATCATACCGAACCGTGACATCAAAACCGAGGTACGTACCGAGCCATCATGTTAGTGTACCATTACACCTCTACTACGATGCTGGTATGGGGTCCAATACTGCACTCATGTACTCGTACTCATTAAAATGCCCCTATACTAAAAGCCGATACCACAAAGTGTGTGAACAGTGCTGTGTCCAGACAAAGAAACAACAGAGAGCAGAATAAAGTTATTAGAGATTAAGGATGTCTATAACGTACATGTATGTAATTAATATAATGGTAAACATTCGATATTCATGCCTGTATAGCTGATGTGTTTGAGCTGATAAGCAAAGCACACAGAGTGGATTGAGTGCACGGTGGCACAGATACAAGAGCTTGTCAAGCGAATATACCTTTCTTACAGACATCACTGGAAAGTTTGTAGTTCAGTCGGATGTGTCAAAAGCAAATAAGTAAAACAATGCACAAGTTACTTAAGTTAATTGACGGTAAGGAGAGAGAGAGAGAGAGAGAGTGCACTTCTGTTTCATGATCTTGATTGCTGTTTGCTCACTTAGCACACGAATCATTTGGATTAAAACTAAATATAAGCCAAACAAAAATTATAGGGGCATTCACTACAAACAACATTTATGTTAAACATCAAGCATACACAACTTTATATAAAGCAATTATATGCTAGTGAAACTAGCAGCCTGTACGTGTTTCTCTCATTCTGCACAAATACAAATGTGCACGCGCATCACGCATATTATGCTTACTTTCAATTTCATTATATGAGCGGCATTGGGATATAAGTCGCAGCATGTTTCAGAAGATAAAAAAATTTATTTATATTTTAGAAAATCTGTTCATCGCCATTACAAGATTTATGTATAATGTTCCCTTCATCGTTACAAGAAAGTGTCTTGTGATTACAGTACTGAGCCAGTACTGATTGCAAATGGCATGAAAATGCAGGTATCGCTACTCAGTATCGGCAAGTACTAAAAATAAAAGTACCATATCGGCCTCGTTCTGAAAAAATTGGTATTGGTGCATCCCTAATATATTATATACAATTTATATAGTAAGTTTCTTAGCATAGTTTTCTTTTCAGTGATCACGCAGGGTTGTTAGGAGTTTAACTAGTTCAATGACTCTGAGGAATCTTTTTTATTAATAAAATATTCAAAGAGAAGAACCAGCAGCATCATGTTTAAAAAAAAAATCACACCCAATGTCATGATACTCACATAGAGTCAAAGGTCACAGCAGGTCCATCACTGAGATCAGGGGGCAGACACATTAAGTTGTTACTCTCCATAGACACACAGTTGAATCCTGGAGATGTGTCAACAGGAGCCTCCTGCTCTCTCTCCTCATATGCACTCATTTCACAGGCTGTTTTCTGCTTCTCTTCTTTCTAGAAGAGAGACTGGATTTCAGGCCTGTATGTGGAAACAAAGAACACACAATGAAATCTGATACAACAGAGTTTCAGTTCTTGCTGGTGATTAGAAGTGAGAAAGCACATTGACCGAAGTGGCTGATAATGTTAAAATGTTTACCTTGATAAGACAGTAAGTCTGGCTGCATCCAAAATGGCATACTTTCCTACTATATACAGTAGGAAATAAGTACCTACCCAAGACAGTATGCAATTTTGGAAGCAGCCCACAAACACATCCACAATTTCACTCCTGTCTAAAAAGTATGACGTGTTTAACAGCACTGAGCATTGCAGCTAATCACAGACATGCCTCTTAAACACCAAACGCAAGATGTGTTTACGTCAGTCAGTGGCACATCCACTCAATACTAGTGCTGTCACGATTAGGGGTGCTCCGATCAGGATTTGAGGCCGATCTCCGATTGCCGATCACAGAAAGCAGTAACTGCCGATACCAATCACCGATACCGATCTTTTTTAAAGCCTTCTTTTTATCATTTATAACTATTTATAGTGATACTCCAATCAGGATTTTTAGACATTTATTCAGGGCCTGAATTTCATTTTTGAAAATGGGGGGGAATTCCCCTCTTAGGTGACTCTTGTGAGGGGAAGCAGCTTTCACACAGGAGTCCGCTACTGATCCGTGGCTGTTTACCACAAACATAACATTTATCCATTATTTTGATTTCAAATCCAAACATTGTCACTGAAAATGCTTTTTCAGCATTGCAATACTTTTTTTACACAGTACAGTAATACAATTTTCACAGACATGTTTAAACACAATAAATATAAGCAACACATTATTTATATATTAAGTTGCTCAAGCAAGTGGCAAAACATTCAAACTACTTTTCTTACATTGTCACAAACTTACCATTGACCGAAATAGTCAGCTCTACTGCCTTTTCTTTTGCATTGAAATCTTTATTACAAGCAATCCTGCTGTTCATAAAGAACTTTGGTTTCCTACCTCCACGAGTCTCATCTATTATTGCCTTGTTTATCTAAAAGTGCTCTTTCCCTTTAAACCTAGCCAAATGTGTTGACTGTGAAACAGTAGACTTTAATAATATGCATTTATGGTGTAATTACTACATTTTCGTGTCAATCCATGTTCATATTTACTGCAAAAAATGCGCTGTTACTTTAATTCAGTGCTTGCAGCGCAGCAAAAATAGACTCGGTGCGGAAACAATCTCTGCACTGCTGCAGACGCACCGCTACTGGAATGCACTGCCGGACAGCAACCGTGTGCATTTATTAATCTGTTAACATAAGCATGGAAAAAATACGCACCACATTCGCACTGCAAATGGAGTAATGTGAACCTGGCATTATGTGTGTGCGCTGCGAGTGTGCATGAGAGCGCGCGAGCGCTGAATGGTTAAACACTGGCCAGAATTAAAAAGTAATGCAATTTATAAACCAATTTATAGTACCTCACCTTCAGCATTATAAATTATTTCACCTGCGCCGTATAGAGACTGAGACGGTGCCGCTGCATGTCATGCCAAACCTCTCACGGCAGCGTCATCAGCTTGAGATCGGTGAAAACCGCCGATCAATCATCCCAAAGCAATTATCGGCCGATAGTGATCGGTAGCCGATCAATCGGAGCAACCCTAGTCACGATACCAAAACTTTGGCTTCGATATGATACCTGACTAAAATATCTCGATACTACTACTGAACCGATACTACAACAAAAACATAAAACAACAGGAAAAGTAACTGAATAGCCTAATCAATGTTCCACATGGACCTTGTATTTATTTTACCTGTTAATAAAAAAAGAAAACTTTCACTTGACCATTGTGTGCCTGCCCTGCTTTTTTGAGCATTTCATCCCTTTAAAAAAAAATTTGCATGCCGTTGGCTATCGGTATAGCCTCGTGGTTAGTGCTCCTAAATGTAGCGCAACTGCGCTTGCAGCGACCCGTGCTCGTTACCCGATTTGTGGTCCAATGCTTTCCTGTCTCCTCTTTACTGCCCGATCACATTAAAAAGCCCATATATTGAACTTTAAAAAAAAGAAACCACATGCCAGTGCCACTACACAGGACTATGGTGAGCAACTACTGAGTCTACAGGCATGAATAGATCTCTGCAACATTGGTAAGCTAGCTAAAAGGATAAAACCAAACTAGACTGTTATTACTGACCTCAACTGCCCCATCAAACTCAGATGGTGAAAAACTGTCACAAAATAAATCACACTCTTTTGACTTATATTTGAGGGCATGAGCTAGGGGTGGGAAATATTACCATAATCTATTTATATCATGATACAGTCAATTTTCTTATTTTATCTTTTCTTTTTCTATTTGTTATTAATAATAGAAACATAGATGCAAGTTACAAACAAAAGCACAAATAGAATAAAACGGACACACATGAAATAAACTGTTTTTAGGTAAAGTAGGTCTATTTAAATGTAGCATTCAAGCAAGAGATGATACAAAAATTTAATAAAGTAATATGTCAGCCGCACCACAAGGATACGAGGTTTTCGTTCAAATCAAAGCATAGAAAGCATATCCGTGTGGTGCAGCTGACACAGAACAGTATACGCTATTTGCATCCAGCGGATATTCTCCAAAATGGCACTACGCTGACACAGAGGAGACAAATTGTTGAATAAAGTCATTATTTTTATTTTCTTTGTGTACAAAAAGTATTCTCGTCACTTCATAACAGTCAGATGGAACCACTGATGGCAGATGGACTATTCTGACGATGCTTTTCATACTTTTCTGGGCCTTGACAGTGTTATTGACTTGGCAGTCAATAGGACAGTCACAAGCCTCCGGTTTTCATCCAAAATATCTTAAATTGTGTTCCGAAGACGAACAAAGCTTTTACAGGTTTGGAACAACATGGGGGTAAGTGATTAAAGACAAAATTTTCATTTTGGGGTGGAGTAACCCTTTAATATCCTAATGATTTTTGGCATAAAAGAAACATTTATAATTTTGGCCCATACAATGTATTTTTGGCTTTTGCTACAAATATACCCGTGCTACTTAAGACTGGTTTTGTGGTCCAGGGTCACATATTGTCTGTGATTATGCATGCGGCTTTGCATAGCTTGTTAGTGAACTATGGCTCTGTGTACTAAATGCTGTTCCATCTGAAAGCACGCACGTGCTAACCAGGATGCACTATGGGAAGAAGGCAAGCCGGTGGAGGCAGTGTGCCAGTGTGGCAATATTCTGCTGGGAAACCTTGGGGTCCTGCCATCCGTGTGGATGTTACTTTGACACGCACCACCTACCTAAGCATTGTTGCAGACCATTTACACCCTTTCATGGAAATGGTATTCCCTGGTGGCTGTGGCATCTTTCAGCAGGATAAATTGCCCTGCCACAAAGCAAAAATGGTTCAGGAATGGTTTGAGGAGCACAACAATGAGTTTGAGGTGTTGACTTGGCATCCAAATTCCCCAGATCTCAATCCAATAGGACTTAAAAGGATCTGCTGCTAACATCTTGGTGCCAGATACCACAGCACACCTTCAGGGGTCTAGTGAGGTCCATGGCTCGACAGGTCAGGGCTTTTTTTACAGCAAAAATGGGACCAACACAATATTAGGAAGTTGGTCATAATGTTATGCCTGATCGGTGTAAATCTGCATTGTTAATCCTTTCAATCTTTTATTAAAAAAATTCACAAAAATCTAAGCTTTCATTGAACTAAAACAATTGAAAATGGGGGAAAATCTCATTACAAAATAAATGTTTTTCTCAAATACATGCTGGCCACAATTATTGACACCCCTAGAAATTATTATAAGTAAAACATCTCTGAAGTATATTCCCATTCGTAGTTACCATTTTTAGCACACCAGTGTGATTATGAACATGAAATTATACAGCCATGGCTTCCTGTTCACAGGAATATAAATATGAGGGAAAACAAAGGCCAAATTCCCTTAATCATCCATCACAATGAATAAAATCAAAGAACATATTTCTGGTGTGCAGCAAAAGATAGTTGAGCTTCACAAATTAGAAATTGGATTTGCGAAATGATAAAATTCCCATTTCAACCTTCAGGGCAATAATTAAGAATGTCCCATCAACAGAAAATATTACGAATCTGCCTGGAAGAGGACGTGTGTCTATATCGTCCTAATGCACAGTGTGGAGGAGAGTTTACTTGTGTTTAGTTGAAAAAAAAGTTGAGCCTCATTGTCAGAAAACCTTTGAAAAAATATCAAACAGCACCTACATCACCACATGTTGTTTGGGAGGGTTTCCAGAAAGAAAGAAAAGAAAATGCTCTCATTCAAAAACAAACTCCAGCATACAGTATTCAGTTGTCGGACACTACTGTAACTTCAAAAATACCCCATGTGTATAATGAAATATACTGCTGTACCTTTAATGTTGTGGACCTATTTTTCTGCCGGAGGTGCCGGAGGTCCCGGACGTCTTATTTAGATGCATGGCATCCTGGATTCTATCAAATAACAACGGATAAAAAAATCAAAACCTGACTGCATCTGCTAGAAATCTTATAATGGGCCATGTTTGGATCTTCCAACAGGACAATGATCCAAAAACAAACATCAAAATCAACACAAAAATGTGTCACTGAGCATAAAATGAAGCTGCTGTCATGGCCGTCCCAGTCCTCTGACCTGAACCATGTAGAAAATGAGTGTGGTGATGAACTGAAGAGAAAGAAGCGCCAACATGGAGCTGTGAATCTGAAGGATCTGGAGTGATTCTGTATGAAGGAATGGTCTCTGATCTCTTGTCAGGTGTTCTCCAACCTCATCAGGCATTATAGTAGAGACTCAGAGCTGTCATCTTGGCAAATGGAGGTTTCAAAAAGTATTGAATAAAAGGGTGTCAATAATTGTGGCCAACGTGTATTTGTGAAAAACCTTTAATTTCATAATGAGATTTTTCCCCCCCATTTTCAATTGATTTAGTTCAATGAAAGGTTAGATTTTTGTGAATTTTTTTTAATAAAAAGGTCAAAAGAATTAACAATGCAGATGTATTTTACAGGCTTTTTTGTTCACATTTACCAAGGGTGTCAATAATTCTGTCCACCACTGTATGTATGTAACCCTGAAGCATTTTTACTTAGTTACTGCACTTAATTAGATTTTTCAAGCATTTTATCTGAAATATTTTTATTTTGAGAAACTTTTACTTCACTACATTCCTAATATTACACTCTAAAAAATGCTGGGTTGTTTTAACCCATCTTTGGGTCAAATATGGACTAACCCAACTGTTGGGTTGAAAATGTAATTGAAATATTTAACCCAACAGTTGGGTTAGTCCATATTTGACCCAAAGTTGGGTTAAAATAACCCAGCATTTTTTTAGAGTGTAGACTTTTTATTCCATTACATTCCCTAAAAACGCTGTTGCTTGTTAATTGAACTGGAGAAATCGTCACCCATTCCGAGATGTGACAGCGGTGTCCGATTTATGAACAGGCTGTTAAATTGGTTCACTAATCGGTTCATTCACGAACTGGACTGATCGCTGATTCAATGATCCAGGCAGAGCTAGTATCCAGTGAATTCACAAGTCTGACTCAGAATGTGTCAAGAACAGATATCCTTGGAGCTTGAGTGTGCACACAACTGATGGCATGAAAAGTAATTTACTAACGGCGAATTTTAGGATTAATTATTTTAAATGAAAATCATATGACTGTCAACTGTCTGTGAACTAAATCTTCTGTTAATGAGTTAGCGATTTATCAACACTATATGAAATGCTTGAATGGTGGCAATTCCACATGTGTATCACTGTCTGAAAACAAAACAAAACACCTAAACATAATATTAAGATAACACAAATTAATGCCCATGCATCTTCAAATAATATAAAACTAGTCAGTTTTACAAATAGCGTTTTTTTTTTTTCAATGTCACAGCCATTTTGGCCAATGTGAGGTCTGTTTTTATATTGTTTGTCAACACACATTTTGTTTTTCTTAATTTTTTTAATAGGCTACTATATGTTATATATGTTTCTGCATCTACTAACCTTCCTTATTGACTAGTGCTGGCTACTTGACAATTCATAATAATTCATAATGATGTCCAACCCAGCAACCACCCCCCAGGTATTCTGAGCAATAGAATTAGCCTATATGAACTAAATAATATACCTTTTTAAATATAAAAGTATATAAGTAAATCAAATGACAAAAATCATTTTCTTTTTACTTTTAATCCTTAAGTACATTAAAAATCAAATACTTTTACTCGAGTAAAACTGAAAGGGAGTACTTAATACTTTTACTTGAGTAATATTTTATCGGGGTATAAAATATTATACCCTAATAACGAATGTCTGTAAAAACTAAATGTCTTTACTTTTACTCAAGTACATGATTTGTTGTTCGTCCACCACTAGTTTCCAAGCTGGTTTGGCGTGAGTGACAGAATATAACGGGCATTTGCGCTAATGTCAAAGGAAAATATATGCGTTTGATTGGGATTAAAGAGACAGACATGGAAAATGTGTGAGAGATGGAAGTAAGTCAGGCCTAGAATTGGGAACTGTCCTAGCCATGCTGCTCTTCTCTTGGCTATCAGGAGAGTAACGAACATCTTTAACGTGTTTGAGTTCAACTTATGGTCTGTTTAGACGCAAAATGTCTGCTGTGAAAAGTTTTAACGAATTTACTGTAACGTGAAGATTGGCCCTGTCCCAAATGACACCCTAAACCCTCGCGGTCTTGCTCGGAGTCTGCACTTTCGTGCCTTCTTTTTCTTCTTTTTGTTAAATGGCCGTTCACTCCTTATGAGTATTGCCGCCACCTACTGTATATCTTTCTGCACATGGGTGATGAATCTGTACTGAATGGGAATTTTTTTTTTTTGTAATGCCCCACCCAAATCATTGCTTCTTCCTTTCTGTGTCTTCCATAAAACAGTTTTTTCCAAATTACAGTCGGAGTCCTATTTGGCTTAATCTGTTCTACCCACTGCAATCCTACTATTATAGCAGTTAATTATGTAGAATATACGGACATTTGTCACTTAACCTTAAACTTATTTTCATCTTAAATCTTGAAATGTACACTCCTGTGCACTATGTATAAGAAAAATATGTCTTACTTTCTTTATTGTGTAATAGGGTCCGATCGCCAACACTTGAGAGAATCATTTTATAAAGTCGAAAATGTTCACCATTAATGATTTGAATAATGTTTAAATAATGTGAGACTCAATTTCCACTGTTAAACAAACTTCTGTTTCAAACTAGCTGCTGTACCTGAAAATATTAAATAAATCACTTGTTGCACAGGACAGAATGTTCTACATCAGTGGTTCCCAGACTGTTTAGGGTGGAGTACCCCCTGAGACATTTCTGTGTACCCCCTCTTTTCCACTTAGACTGCACCTTTTCCATTAAAGGACCATATTTGCCCCCTAAATTGACTTTCCAATGAATTTTTTATCTTTATAAAATAGAATATTAATGTTTAAAAAAAAGTTTAATAGATTAATAATATGCAATGATGATAAAAAAGTGAAAAGTGATTCTTTTAAAAACTAAAACCGCCAGTAGGTGGAAGTGGGGGGGACACAAACGTGATTTTGAAAAGTGGGGGGACATGTCCCCCCTGTCCCCAGTGGAAATTAAGCCCCTGCCGATACCCCATTTAATGGCATGTTGGGACAGATTTTTTTCATTCTCCAGACCACAATCCTTGACCCACTGTTCATTCTTCCAACAAAAACTATTCCCTCCATTCTTTTTATATTCCCAACAATCATTTAAAATTGTGCGTGATTCTTATTACTACCCTGTAAATTAACCCAATACATCATTGCAAGCTTTTCTCTTCTTAAATCTAATGGCATCTTCCCCATTTCGACCCTGATGGCATCTAGAGGAGTTGGCCTTATTTCTCCACAGCAGATTCTAAGTGCTCTAGACTGTATGTTATCCAGTTTCTTTAATTCAGATTTTGCTGCAGCACCACAATACATCATTGCAAGCTTTTCTCTTCTTAAATCTAATGGCATCTTCCCCATTTCGACCCTGATGGCATCTAGAGGAGTTGGCCTTATTTCTCCACAGCAGATTCTAAGTGCTCTAGACTGTATGTTATCCAGTTTCTTTAATTCAGATTTTGCTGCAGCACCATACCCTGCACACCCATATACTAGACCGTATTAAGGCTTGATATACATGTAACAGTGCACTTCTCCTTGCTCCCCATACATACTTAGCTGTTGAAGTTATGCAATTTATTACTTCTTTGCATTTGTTTTCAGTTTTCTTAATATGTCTCTTCCAAGTAAATTTTTCATCAAAGATTAATCCAATATATTTGAACTCTGTCACTCTTTCTAACCTAACAAATTGATCATACAATTTAATTTGTTCCATCTTCTTTTTCTTTGTAAAAACCATATATTGACTCTTTGATACTGAAAACGTCAATCCCCAATCTACTGACCACCTTTCAACTTCAATTATTGATTCTTGTATTCCTTTAACTACATTTCCTAAATTCCTACCTCTTTTCCATACTGCACCATCATCTGCATATAATGCCTTCCCAATGCTTGGTTTAACTCTTTCAAATATATCATTAATCATTACATTAAATAAAGTGACTTAAAGGCAGAGTAAGGGATTTCTGGTAGCCAATGTTGATATTTGAAATCACCAAAACAAACACGCCCCTACCCCAAAAGGATCTTGCCCCTATTTTGATAGTTCCGCCCCCACATATACGTACGCAACCCAGGCAACGATTAGTTCTGTGAAACAAAGCAAAACCAAAGTTACACCGTGTCTACGGACGTGAGCGGCGCGGCGCAACAAATTCTATTTATGACGTGCTGACACAAATTTCAAATGGTTTTCAACGGTTGTTTGATCGCGTCCAGTGTAGGCAGACTTTAGCTGTTGTAGACACGGTGTTACTCACCTATCGAGAAGAAACAAAGCAACCTCGGCGTCCGATCGTAGACCTCCGCTCCTTGAGTTCTCTCCTTTCAAACTTTCAAAAGCATGTCTGGCTAAATCAATCAATCAATCAATAATAATAAACAACAAGGCAACTGCGCAGGCAATCGGCAAGGCCATGGACAGTCTAGTGGTGGTTGAGAGCCAACTTCGGCTGAATTTGACTGAGATCAGGGACGCTGACAAGGTCGCCTTCCTTGACTCTCCGGTCTCTCCCAAGGGACTGTTTGGCCCAGCCATAGATGGGTTTGCTGAGTGTTTCACAGTGGCACAGAAGACCTCACAGGCGCTGCAACTCTTCTTGACGAAGTGCTCTAATTTAGTGGCTGGTTCAAGTCACCAGAAGTCCCCAGCCAGCCAGCAGCCTGCAAAATCACCACTGTCTCAGCCTCGGCCTTAGTCTCAGCCTCAGACGCCCACGGACCATTGGTTGAACTTCTGATGCATACAGCACACAAAATTGGAAACACTTCAGGAGTTTGAAAAGTAGACATGGGATTGTTTGAATTATACAGGATTTGAATTATTCAGATGGCAAAGCAGTACCTGTTTCTGAAGCATCAAGGTCTAGAATGACGTTGGACCCTGAGCCTCAAAAGCCATCCTGATCCATTTGCAGAGAGGCAGAAGAGAGGGTCAGTTCTCGTCAAGGCTGGAACTCCCTCGAAGAAAGCTTGCACTCACTCTCCGTCCCTTCGTTCAACACAGAGCGACGGAAGCTCTTTTCAGCTCTGGGCCCGTCCTGACAGTTCAGCGCGTGCCCAAGCAAACTTCCACTATGATACTGGACCCACACATTTACAAAAGGAGCATTTCTCCTCTCCTCATTATCATGAATGTCAGTTCCCCGCCATCATGCGGCGAACTCTCATTCGAAAAGTTACCATATTGTAACTTCTAAAAACCATAGAACGAGGTTACTTTCTTCAGTTCACTCGCAGGCCGCCTTGCTTCAGAGGTAATATTCACACTTCGGTTCAGGACAACAAAGCTCACGTTCTTCAGTCCAAAGTATAGACATTGCTTGCAAAAAGAGCCATAGAAGTGGTTCCTCTAGCGAACAGCGAGTCAGGCTTCTACAGCCCCTACTTCCTCGTTCCCAAGAAAGATGGCGGGCTCAGACCTATTCTCGATCTCAGACATCTTAATTGCTCGCTCATGCAACGGCCGTTCAAGATGTTAACTTTGAAACAGTTCCTCATGCAAGTATGTCCCGAGTTCTGGTTTCTGTCTGTGGATCTGAAAGATGCATACTTTCATAATCCAATTAGCCCCTCATCACAGACCGTTCTTGAGATTCGCCTTCGAGGGAGTGGCCTATCAATACACAGTCCTGCCATTTGGGCTGTCCCTTGCCCTTCACACTTTTACCAAGTACATGGACGTGGCTCTTTCCCCTCTGACAGATGGGAATCCACATTCTGAATAACCTTGACACTTGGCTGGATCAGAACGGGAACTCAGTGCTCACAGGTCGTGGCTGCTCAGCCAGCTACAGCGTCTTGGGTTGAAAATCAATTTGACCAAGAGCTCTTTGTCTCCCATACAGCGAGTGGTCTTTCTGAGGACAAGTATAGACTCTACTCAGACGAGAGCATGGATTACGCCAGAACGCTCCCTGATCTTTCAGAGGCAAGCGGCATCATTCAGGCTAGGGACTTCTCGTCCCCTCAGATGTTTCCAGAGGTTTTCTGGCCACTTACTTTGCGATTCCTCTGGGCCTGCTCAATATGCGGCCCCTCCAATACTAGCTGAAATTCCAAGTCCCGTCCAACGTCTGGCACATGGGCCGGTTTTATGTCAGGGTAACCCACCGCTGCATCAGAGCCGTGGCCCCTTGGAAAACTTCTCGCCTGTTGCAGGCTGAGATCAGTAGTGATCGAAGTGGAGCCACGTCCTGCCCACACTCCCGCAGAATTGATCGTAAGCTCCTGTAGATCTCCTCCTGTAGATCCTGAAAAAGTCCGTTGGCGCCTCAGTTCGCTCAGAGAAGCTGTCAATCTCAGCTATAAATCATGACGTCACACTCCCATTTTTATAGCTGCACATATCTAACTTAGGGTGACCATACGTACCATTTTCCCAGGACGCGTCCTGGCCAGGATTTGTTTTGGCTTTGTTTTCCTGATTTCATGCTTGCTGAAGGTAATGATCGAAAAGTAGTTTGACCAATAACATGCAAGCATTGTACATAATGGACCAATCATGGCGTGTGAGAAGGTGGAATCTACGGTCAAAGCGATGCAATTACGCGTACATATTAGGTGTGTTCGACTTAAAAGCAGTGCGGCTCAGACCGATCAGTGTTTGACATCAAAGTACCTCGAGAGCGTTTCGAAAGCATAACCGTCTGTATGGTACTTTGATGTTATACACCGATCGGTCTGCACACGCAAACAAAGCCAAAACCTAGATATTTTAGGCAATATAGAAATCCTGGCCAGGACACGTCCTGGGAAAATGGAACGTATGGTCACCCTAACTAACTAAATTATTAGGCAGGGCCCTATTTCCCCTTACCTTTTTCTTCTCGCAGCTCAGATTCTTTGTTCTCATATAAAGCCCAGTAGTTTAAAAGGGGTAAACTATTGCTGGAAGAGAGGTGATTATCAGTCAGCTTGCTGATGACACAACCCCCCCTTTTTTTTTAAAGATGATAGGCAGATTCCACTTGCTATAAATATTATTGATTCATTTTCTAAAGCCGCAGGTTTATACTTAAATATTAAAAAGTCTGAGCTTTTTTCCATTAAAGACTGTAAGGAATCCTTTGTCCATAATATTCCAGTGAAATAAAAAAATTGCTATCCAGGTGTTTTAATTGTTAAGGATCAGAAAGAAAGATATACTCTTAATTATCAACCCCTTTATTGATAAAACACAGAAAAGATTTAACTAGTAGCTACAAAAGGATCTGTCTTTGAGAGCTAGGGAACAATCTAAAAGAAAACAGCTTTATGTAGTGAATCTGATATTGCTTCTTGCTAAATTCCACATCCACAGATGCAAATATTCAAACTCCAGAGTCCAGACCTCCCTCTTTTGTTTTCATAAAATAATTTGAATTGATCCAGTTGTCTAAGAACAAAAACGTTTTCAAAACTGTATCTGTCTGTAACTCCTTTGCTATCTTTAAATGACAAGTAAGTCTCAATTTTGTTTTTCAGTTTGAAATGTATTAAACACCCCCTTTTTCTTCTTTATTTGTAAAAAATAAAAAAAAGACCTAAACCAAACTTATTTAAAAAACGAACACTTGCACTTAGCGTGATAAAACTACATAAAATGGCAAATATATATATATATATACTATATATATATACTATATATATATATATATATA